GGTGATTGGCCGGGTTTTGCCCGAGTGACAACCTAGGCCAATCGCGGCGAAAAATTTCTAGTTTCCTATTTTAACTGAAATTCTTATGGAAACAAATCTTTGGAGATATTTTACAACCATAGGGTTGTCCCTAAGCATACAGCATGCATTATAACACATTCATAAAGATTTTTAAAGAGGAGAACAAGGCAAGAATGTGAAGATTGACATCAAGACGCAAGGATTCAATTCAAGATTTAAAGCGATGATGTCCTTTCTTTATGATTTAGTTTGTTTTCTTCTTCCCTCTATGTCAGGCTAGATTTATGTACTAGGAGATCGATGAACCTTGTAATGTGATTCTTAATTCCTTGTTTCATATTTTTGACATTAAACCACATTTGATTATTTTGAATAGTTTATATGCATTTAATTTATTCCGTAATTAAGGGCTCCTAATTGTGTGAGTTTGAGTGACTTATTTCTTGCATTCAAGAGAAGGGAAATATGTTCGACAAGGTATAAATCATCGTTGAGTCCGATATGGAATAGAGATATACCGCTATGCTTTGCGTGAATCTAAGTGTTCACAAAACTACATGCATTCTGATATATTTGCACCTGTCATAGAGATATAGGCTGGTGGTATATAAGAGTATGTTTAACATTACGAGAGAGAGAATGTTGGATAGATTTAGGAGCACTGATTCTTCATAATTTCAACGTGTTGTTAACTTATAGAACTAGGATTAAATTGAGCATTGCTTAGGGATTCGTGATCCTATTTCGCTTTGATATTCATTGAGTACATCAACTTGCATTCAACACATTCACTTTGCATTTTAGTTCATTCAAATCATACATATTTGCATATTTAATCCAAGTAAGGTTAATTTAAGTCACTACAATTTACGTTTGACAAATCAGTTTCGATTAAAGCCAAGTTAGATAATATTAAACTATTCAATCTCTATGGGACGCTCAGACTCCATTTTTCATTGTATTACTTATTATGAACTGTACACTTACGAATACAAATCGAAAGAATAATTTCGTGACCATCTGCCATGTCAAATCAAATGGAGTTAATCGCGAAGCTGATGAAGCTTTTGCTCTAATACCATATTGAAGGTAGAAAGAAGAATTGGGAAATGAAAATGTTTCATTCAACTCGTCTTTGAAATGAACCATACAGCCCCATTAAATAGAAAGGGAAAAATATGTACAGCTAAACTAACTAACTAAACAACTAAACAAACAAAATTTTGGCACCAAATTAATTCCGGTTATTCTGATACTTACCTTTCTCGTATGTCATTTCCTCCTAATATGGTGATCATCAGGTAACAAAATTTTGACATTTAGCATAATTTACTCTGGGTTATAACAAAATTCAATCATTCGATTACATGATGTTTTCCGCTCACTATGATAGCAACTTGTTTGGAAATTTCCTTTTTGTGGTCTAGCGCCTAATTATCATTCCAATCAATTTGGCCCAATTAGAAGTACCACTATGCTTCTTTAAGAAGTTGACCACTTGGATTATTATTGTATACCCATATTGGGCGGTTTGGGACTTTCCACGTGAAGTATTTTGGGTTTGGGCTCATTTTTGTCGTGGGCCTCTTTTGGCCTTATGGCACGTCCTTTATGTATAAACCCATTATCATGGCAGTCCATACTTGACTGTTAGCCCATATTTTCAGCTAATTTACCCGTGTTGCTTATTCTTGAAAATTGTCACACGAGTTGTGAGTGAGAGCTTGGTTTTCATCAAAAATATGCATGGTTAACATTGCATATTCAGTTCTATTGCAATTTGCAGTTGCTATCACTATCTTCTTGATTTGTTCAATTGGTCTATAAAAATTCATTATATTATTACAAAACCACATATTTGGTACATACTTTTATAGTCACGAAGTTTCAAAATGAGATTGAGAACCATGCTAGGCTTACAGGTTGGACCTACGACCATCCACACATAAAGTTCCATGTTCCACCACACAAGCTTGTTTTGTCCGTGTCTTCTTTGGGACTTCCCATTTGTTCATGCCGTTCTCAACCAGAGACGGATTTAAGGTGGGCTGGGCTGGGCTGTAGCCCCCCTCCAGGCCCAAGAGTTTTTTTTTAAGGTAATTTTTATTTTTTTTTGGTAAAAAACCAATTTTTTATGTGTAAATTTTTTTTTTCCACGTAATAGCCCAATTTGAAATTTTGTAGTCCGATCTTGAATCCAATCCTAGATCCGTCCCTGTTCTCAACTACACAGTTTTCAGATTATCCAATTATCCACTGCTTAGAAAATCACGTTATAATTTCAACTGTTCATAATTTTATCCAAACAAGGACTATGGATTCAGAATTTCCTACGTTTAATATGGCATTGGCTGTCATCCAAAGGTCGGCAAACGTTCTCTCTCAATTCGTAACGCGTGTCAATTGCAAATCGCGCACTTTTTCTCTCCCTCTACAAATCCTAATCGCTCTCTAATCCCAAAATTTGTGAAGGCAATGTCTGCAACAATGAAGTTTAAATATAAGGATCAAGTGGAAGTAGCCAGCAATGAGGTGGGTTTTGTTGGCTCGTACTATGAGTCTAAGGTGGTGAATCAATTACCGGGGCAAGATTATGTTGTGGAGTACCTTACTCTGGTAGAGGATGACTTTTCTGGGCCTCTAAAAGAGGTCGTCACCGCCTCCGAGGTCCGCCCACCACCGCCTCCGATTCCGGTGGTGGCGTTCAAATTGTACGATCTGGTGGATGCCTTTGACAATGATGGATGGTGGGTTGGAAAGATCACTAAGAGGATTGCAAATAAGTACTATGTGTATTTTGAACGTTCCTCCAAGGATGAATTTGCTTATGATTTTGAGAGGCTGCGACTTCATCAAGAATGGGTTAATGGCAAATGGATTATTCCCGAGAATAAACTCAATAGGGGTACCCGATTACTCTGAAAACTTCTTCCCCTTTATCCAATCCGCCTCTTGTAGGAAAGCGTGCTTAGTTTTGATTTTCTGGGATGTATTACAATCTGTAGGGCTTGAAGCCCGTAATCATGAAGAATGATCTCTGTCTGTCTACTTAGTTTTGCAGCAAGTAAATATTAATATGATTTTCATTTGGATCCTTAATTGTGCTCTTTTTCTGTTCATCCTCTGGTTTTTGTACCAGGATTATGTCTTACCTCTGCGCGGCTGGGAGTTTCAGGGTTCTTTAGGTTCTGCTTTTTGGTTTGCTTGAATTTTGATATATTTTTCAGAATATTTTTATCCCAAAAGAATTGCTTGTGATCTTATTGAAACACACAATAGTGTCCAATTACTGAACCATAAAATGCATTCTATCATTTCTTTCAACAAAAATAAGGAATTTTGTTACTTGTAAATAAAATTGTTATGTCAGCCGTTACCGAAAATGACGTTACATAATTCATTAGTTAACTTTGATGTATATACCGTTACCGAAAATGACGTTACATAATTCATTAGTTAACTTTGATGTATATACCGTTACCGAAAATGACGTTACATAATTCATTAGTTAACTTTGATGTATATACCGTTACCGAAAATGACGTTACATAATTCATTAGTTAACTTTGATGTATATACCGTTACCGAAAATGACGTTACATAATTCATTAGTTAACTTTGATGTATATACAGTAAGGCCTAATATCAAGAAACTAGCTTTGAATTATAAATTAGAAGCCATGTCTTTTTATCCAAAATTAATCTTCGTCCCATAAGACGCAGAGATTACTCGTCTTTTCGTTTCAAATTTAAGAACAGAATCGATACAAATAATTAGTTTGTGCTTTGTTCATCTTTCAAGTGGTTCCTTTTCAAAGACTGCTAAACTGTTTTATTCTCCTTTTACCGTTGTCAAAGGCCTCCTTTTGAGGAGCAAAAATATTCTAATGATCTACTTTTTTACTTTATTGATGTAAAATAATTTATTTTTCATGAGGAAAATAACTTATTTTAAAACTTGCATGTTTCTTCTAAATGAGCTTCTTAAGCTTAAATCAAACAGACCCTAAAGAGATTTAGAAAGTTAAAAAAAAAAAAAGGTTGAATTTTTGTCCTAAAAGTTGTGGTCTATTCAGAGCGTTAAGCATGTTTTGAATTCCCATGGTTGCCGCTATAAAAGCTTCAATCAAGAAATTTGGTACATTTTACCACAAATGTTGAAGGGTAAAGTGACTTTTTTCAAAAAGAAAAGCAATTCCCCGCAATCCATGTTTAAACTACCATCAACCTAGGAGACACACAGAGGTAAAAGCAAAAAGTCAGGAAAAATCTTATTACCCACAAATCCATCCCATAATGTCCAAGTCAACGACATTCGAGTAATTAGGGGCAACGGTAATGTCTTTCAAGAATCTTTCATGATTGCTTAATTTATGGAAATTTATTTGCATGTGAGAGTTACGTCTATTCACTAGAACAAAGTGAAAAATCTGTGGTGGCTAATAGCCTAATATACGTAACTTCGCATTGTGGATGAATCACTTTAAATTTGTGTGCACATTTTTTGTGTTTCTGATTTCATATTGCTTCTTGTTGTTTTTATAGTTGGGACAAGGTCTTAATCGATAAAAAATGCATTGAGAAATCTGTTATTTGATAGCCTTTTCTTGGAGTGTCTCTTAAGCAAAATGCAGGCAAAAATGACACTAAATATACAAACCTTTAGGCATCTATGTATTATTTTCCCCTTACGTTTTTATTTACATATGTATGAGCATATGGAAGTAAAGAACTCGATATCAAAATGACACTATACAAGTGAAAAAATCTTTATTATGACACTCAATTACCACGATGGCCAATGGAATTGCGAACAAAATGGCTGAAGACGAACCAGAGGATTGCAGGAATAGCTTCTACCGCGTCTGGTGTAGAGTCAAAAGTTCCTGATATGATTAGATTTTACGTTAGTAAAAACATATGAAATGAGTTTAATATATCATTTTTATCAGTAAATATGTTGAGAAAATTTACCTCGGAATAACATTAATTTAATGCTGCTGCACCTTTGTAGTTTTAACTAGTGTTTCCCATTTGAGATCACCTGGTTGCGCCTTGGAAACTTGTTTTTGAGGATTTGCTGCTGCACGAAGATGTGAGCGTATATGTGTATTCTTTGTGGCCATAGAAGGCAAAGTTCGTTGAAGCCAAGACTCGGATGGAGCTATTGGCGATGGTGGAGGGAGGGGGAACTGAAAACGACTTTGGTGAAAGTTTTCTCGATTTTCTGTTTTTGCCTGTTGCTTCTGTGAACTTTCAGTAGCTCCCTTATCAGTCACTGCTACGTTTGCTGCAGTAGTTGAATCCTTCTTAATTTCTTGGTCAGGTTCAAAAACCTTCGATGCCTCCATGCTGCCTTTTTGAATGGAATTGCTGATAGAAGATTCTACGTTGATGTCATTAAATTTCTGAGAATCAGGCAGTAATTTTTCTCCATCTACAGCTTCCAATTTATTGATATCTTTAAGAGAACAATCTACTAAAGGGAATTGATCCGTCATCTTAGTAACAACTTCGTACTCTCTCTCTGTTGAACCAGGCTCTTCCTTCAAGCCTTGCATATTGGAAGAAATAGGTTCCCTGCTCGGAGATTCTCCCTTCTGTACAACCACGGGAATTCCTGAATGCGATGAATCCTCAGTACTCTCCTTCTCAGACAAGAAGTCCCCAAAGGTTTTATAGCCCTTTTTATGTGATTCAGAGCCATTAATTCCCTGATTCTTTGTTTCTTTAGAATAGTTGATGACTCCTTTTTCTTTATTAGGCAATTCATCGAAAGACATTGATGTACTGTGTTTTCGTAATTTTCTGGGTAGCATTGATCCCTCAGGATTCTGTCTCTGACGGCTATTTAAATTGAAGTCACTTCTCAAACTAATTCGATCGCTGACTGAATTTCGATCCGAAAGATCAGACCTAGACTGCAGCCAAAAAGGTACAACTTAGTCACCAAATGCTTCAGGACAAAGATTAGAAAACATAAGCACAGAGAGGGGGGCGCTTTAAGCAAAATCGTGGTAGTAACCCACAAACTGCTGGCAAATTTCCACGTTGATCATTATCGTCATCACTTTCTTCTTCTTCATCGTCCTGGAATTGTAAAAAGTGCTTTACAAGAATAGGTCCATGCTGCATTGAAGGCTGTTTTTCTTGCACTATGGGTTGCTTTTTGCTGACAAATTGAGGTTTGTCTAAAGCCATATCCTTTGCGGGAGGGACTAACCGATCGTCTCTAGTCAATGGATCTGTTGAAAAGCTTCCAGATGGTTTCCCATCTAGTTCATCAAATGAACTTAAGCCACTCGTGCTAAAATTCAAGAAAATTGATTCACTGCTCGAGAATGTATCGAGTGCATCTACATATGCTTCATCACTTTCCTCAGAATGAGAACTCTCTTTCTCTACTGTCTTGTTACATCTCTCAAAATTGTTCACATCTTCATCCTGAGATTGAACGCTCTGCACATCACAATGAGCATTTCGTGCTTGGCTCTTATCGACATTTGAGTTCTTATAAACTTTATCGCAATCTTGCTGGTTGACAGTTGAAGATTTCCCAGGAGGAAGTTTCGGGGTAATTAGAGATCTATCAGAGTTTTCATCGTGTTGTTTGATCTCTTCCTTCGGTCGTCCAGGGCGCTGTTCCCAGTAAAAAGGCACGGTTCCTGGATTTGTTACGGGACCAGATTTCAATTCTGTTTTATAATGAGGAAGACGAGGCACAACAGGGAGGGATTTGTCTGTTTTCATTTCATTATCCTTCTCTGATCTTCTCACCGATAGAAGTGGCTGGTCGTAATTCAGCTGCTTCTCCTCCATCAGATTCTTCAGCAGCATGATTCCTCACTACCCTGTAAATACGATTCATCATCAGAAAACAAGTGAATTTTTGCCAGAAATTTTCCACTAAGTTGGATAATTGCGAGATCAAGTTTCTTACATAAACACACAAACCAAACCAGCAAATGAAACTCCAATTTATAAGGGAAAACAGAGTTTTGATACACAAAGTTAGAGACAGAGATTGTACCTGTGAAGATTTAAGAATCAAGAAGTAATCTGAATTTTCTTGTCTGAAGATTAAGATATGAAATGCGCTCACGTATGTATGTACTTATGAAAGCTGTAGCCTGTAGATCTGGAAAACTAAGAAAGAGGAAGACTGAGAGGAAGAGACAGCAGTTAATACGCTCAGGACAGGGGTTTTGTTGGTCAGTGAATATAATAAAACCAGGGGCATGACACATTTAAAGAGATGAGACCGCCATGTTAGTAAAATTTAAGTAAAATTGCATTGGGTACAAACATATCCTGCAAATTCTCCAAAATTTGAAAATCTCTGTACTGGAGATAAATATAATTATTAGTTTTCTAATCTTATAAAGAATACATGTATGGTGCATTTTTCGTCATTGTTATATCGAAAATTAATGAAATTTTTTTAGATGTTCTTCTGTAAAAATTTTGTCAAACTTTTTCTTTATCATAGCATAATTGTTGTATAAATATTTATTGGAATTGATCTTTCGGCCACCCGTTTTTGTACCATGTCATGCATTTCATAATGAAATGGGCCCCAAGATAGTCAACTCACACAGTGTGATTATTTATTCAAGTGGGATAAGTAATTATAAATTTGCCTTTCTAAGGTATAATTATCTGTAAGTAATATTGTTTTAGACTAAAGTGAAATATGTTTCCCGCCTAATGCAAAATGATAGTAATTTTTTTTTTTTTTTAATTAAACTACTCTCTAATCAGAGTTGAAGAAATTCTAACAATAAAGAGTTTATTACGACTTGAAATTCCATCTAAAATGTCAATCTTATTAAGAAAAATAGTCAAAATCTTTATATATTGATCTATATTTTTATCTTTATTCGATGTGCAATTTTAACCATTTAACATGTCTTTGCAAGATGATGATTCATTTAAGCAAACCATTCTTGAAATTCGCGTGCCCATTTTTTGAGTTTTAATTGGATCGAATTGCTCATTAGAGTTTAATATGTTTTGATATCATATTAAGATTTGAGTTTTCATCTTGAAATGTCAACTTTGTCAAGAAGAATAGCTCAAGTCCTTATATATTAGTATATGTTTTCATATTTATTCGATGTGAAATTTTATCTCTTTAACAAATCTTTTATTATCAAGGAAAATGAGGAAGATTAAAATGTTTAAAGTACTAAATACCTTCGTTATCTTTATATAATTTGCCGAGAATGTCTAAATGATTCGAAATTTATGTTGATGGAGAAAAGAGAGAATTTGGTAAAAATATCGAAGAGAAAGTGATGGACAAAAAATTTGAAATGGAAAAAGTGATAAATAGGCATCTCATTCACCCTCTTTCACCTAATTTCAAAATGCCATAATTACCTTGTAAAATTTGTCAAACTAACAAGTTTGTGTCAACATTAGTGCCCGACATGAAGTGTAAGTATTGGATTATCATGAGCTAGCAAGAAAGTAGGTTTGGCTGCCCAGTCTTAACCGAATGATTTTTTAACACAATAAACAGTTTATCAGGGACTGTTCTCCTAAGTTTGCACGACACACATCTTTCATAAGATTCGATCTTAAAGAGGAAGGAGATGTCTTAGTAAGTTAATTCAGAGAATGAGTCTCCCTCTCTTGATCTCTAGTTGTCTGTCTAGAAAAGCTATTCGGTCTGTAGTATCGTCACAAAAAGACAAGCACGTCGCCGTCATGTTGACTAAGCGAATCAAAGGAAGAAAATTGTGAAGATGGCCTCGTTATCCACACCTCTTATCGGATGAATGGATGACTAATCGATCAGACCTGAATTTTCACGAGGGTTGACGATCCCAAACTTGTACTCAAGGACTATGCTGAACCTCGAATCAAAGTCTTTTCACATGTGCCTACTCGGGATCAAAGTAATGAAAGAGCTCGTAGCTACATTATAGATCTTGTCTTGTTCAATGTACCGGGTACAAGATCGAAAAGAATCCGAAGCTTTCCATGTCCAAAAACTCCCTTGCCTTTGTTGGTTGGACCAATCCAACCGGCCATTTTCGACAAGTTTTTCTTCCTTTTGAGAGCAAGAAGCGGAGAAAACTGCACTCGTGACCCATCGCAAGCTTCCTTGGACATATACTTCTATTTGTATGCAATAATCATTAAGTAGCTGGATAGCCTAGCTAATGAGATATTTTTGCTAAAACTACGCATACTTTGTCCTTGAGGGAGCACGTTCGATTTGCAAATAATTAGCGTTTTTTTTTTTTTTTTAAATTCTTGATTATTGACATAACAATAGTTTCGACATGGATAAATCCAAGTTAATAACACTCGAATATGTAAAAATTGAGATGAACACTGAAGTTTAAACATGTATGGACATTCAACTTTCCCACTGAATTGTTGGGAAATCAATGATTCTTATGTCATTTTGTGGTGTGTTTAATCATTAGGCAGATCAGCTTTGGATTTCTCTTTATTTGCTTTATTTGTCTAATCAATTAAATGAATGATTAGCTTGGCATTCCGTTTTGCTGTCTGTCCACCAATTATGTTAACTTAAGAAAGTGTGGAAATACTTGTAGTTTTCATAGAAACTACAAGTGTCGTGATTTTAAAAGTTGCTTCTTGTGCCAAGATTTATTTTCACTAGCTCGTTCAGCGTAGCTTGATTGTTGTCTTTTAGTTTCAGGGAAGAGGTAACCCTTTTCTCACCTCACGTAGTTCAATTTTCATGTCACTTCAATGCGTACTATAGGATCAGCTTCAATATCTATCTATATCACTGACGTGGCCTTACTAGTAACAAACGACCTTGGAGATGTGACTCAATACTCGATTAGTCTCTTTAATCTCAAAGGCATGCCTGCACCAATAGTTCTTAACTAACATCGCCTCAACCACTTAGGATAGAGATTCATAAGGGTTAAATTTGTTTCAGAAGGAGAGAGCCACAAAAGTCAAAGGTGACAAAAAAAATGTCAACATAAAGGACTTCTCAAACTTTTACCTCCTCATTTAGTGTTAATTATGTCAGTTTTCCAATGTCACTTCAACTTTATATAATGTCATTATCCATGGGCTGAAATCAAATGCTGCTCCATGAAAGAAAGCCTTTTGGGCCTATCAAATTGTATGTTTTATAGAAAAAGAAACTAGTTGTTACTAGGGAACATGGATGTTGAAAGGATGGGACGAACTTAGTCTGTAGAGACTCGATAATACAAGGCAAATTTTTGTCTAATTCAATATTTGCCACATAGAAGATTAGTCGAGTCAAGAAAAGGGTATACAATTTAGAAAATTTGAAAATTTCTAATATGTTCATGAGTACATGACTTTAAGACGAGCTCAATATAACATCCTAAACATGGCATTAAGGTAAAATTTTATATAATATGCAAAGACTCTTAGGAATTCATTCTAAGAGATAGGAGGCATTTAGATTTAGACCAATTTTAGAATATATCTAGGTATATGCTAAGGTGAATTTGGTACAACTCTTTTTCAATGGGACACATACTTTTGATTCGTTTATATATATATGCCTCTTGATTCAAGAATAAAAACTTTATCAAATGCAATCAAATAGTTGTTGAGCAAAGTGACGGATGATTCCTCTGAAGTTAAAATGCTTCAAATGATTTTTCTATAACATTTTTTATTTGGAGATCGAGAATTTTAAAGCCATATTCCGTACTGATTCGTATCTTTTTATTTTGCTTTTTGAAATATTTGTTAAAAGTACCTTTTGTTAAAGATCGGGTTAATTTCACAAACAATCACTGAACTTAAGCGAAAATTACAAAACGATCACTGAAATTTAAAACTTTCAGTAACGGTCATTTAAGTTTTGGGACACTTTCAGAAATGGTTACTGAAATTTAAAAACTTTTAGAAATGGTCACTGAAGTTTAAAAACACTTTTTCAGTTTTTGGGTTACTTTTGCGACAAGTTTTCGATCACTTTTGACCATCGATACTGTTGAATTTTGATATCATTGGAAATCTCACAACGTCCTCTTCAATTACGACCCAAAATCTTCCCATAACTCCAAGGGATTCAACAGGAAAATCGCCTAGATTTTCAGATTTTTGAGCGACTTTTGCGGCAATTTTTCAACGACTTTTGACTACCAAGAATGCCGAATTTTGATATCTTTGGAAAACCCACAATTTCCTCTTCAATTACCACCCAAAATCTCCCCCAAACTCTAAAGGATTCGACCGGAATAAACCCATAAATTCGACTACCCAAAAGGTGAAAATTTAGGCAGATTTTTTGGGCTACTTTTGAGGTAACTTCCGACCACCAATACCTCGGGATTTTGATACTATTGGAAAACGCACAATCTCCTCTTCAATTATCATCCAAAATCTCCCCATAACTTCAAAAGATTTGATCGGAATAAACCCACAAAGTCAGCATCCCGAATCTGGGCAGATTTTGACCTTTTTAGGTAACCGATTTCATGGGTTTATTCTGACCGAATCCTTTGAAGTTTGGGGGAGATTTTGGATAGTAATTGAAAAAAATATTGTGGGCTTTCCAACGGTATCAAAACCGACGGTCTTGGTGGTTGGAATTCACCAGAAAATCGTCGCAAAAGTCGTCCAAAAAATCACGACTTTTGTGGCGATTTTCTGTCGAATCCCTTAGAGTTACGGGGAGATTTTGGGTAGTAATTAAAGAGAACATCGTGGGCTTCTAACGATATCAAAATTTGACGGTATCAATGGTCGTAAATGGTCGAAAAGTTATCGCAAAATAGCCCAAAAAACTGAAAAAGTGATTTTAAATTTCAGTGACCGTTTCTATATGTTTTTAAATTTTAGTGACCATTTCTGAAAGTTTTTAAATTTCAGTGAACGTTTTAGAAGCTCCCAGAACTTAAGTGACCGTTATTGAAAGTTTTAAACTTCAATAACTATTTTGTAATTTTCGCGTTAAGTTCAATGACCATTTGTGAAATTAACCCATTAAAGATCAGAAAAGACCAACATTCAATTCTCACCACAACTTATTTATGCGAAGTGTGTATGTGTCATTGCACATAAATAAGAGTGTTGAAAACAAAATTTAAGCCCTTGTTTGGCTCCACTTTTTTTAAGATTCATTTTTTTAAAAACTTATTTCAACCACATATTTTATGGGATCCATAACTTTTATTAATTTTTTAATAATGCATTTTATAAACTTTCATCAAAATCTATTAAAAAAAATTAATTTTTTAGCTAAACCAAACATTGGTTAAATGAACTCATGTCATCTCTCTAAACGACTTTTTTCTGAAATGCTATAACACTTTTATTATGAAGTGGAAGCAATAAGATTCCCTTTAATCTTGTCCATAAATATTTTAATCCATCATTAT